CTGCTTCTCTAGAGTCTCCAACATCACAAGCTGCTCCAGATGTTGATGCTACTCCTCACTCCAGTTGAAAGAGAGTTCAAGAACCAAGATGCTTCTACTGTCACTCAAAATCTAATGGAACTTCTTCCCGAAAAAATCGCAAATGAGTTTGTAGCAAATCCACCACATGACGCCAGTACATCTACCGTGGATTCTTCAGCACATCATGGAGCCATTAATATCCATAATCTTCCTGTCACATTCAATAACATCAGTCATGAAATTCCCTCTCGCATACAGCGCAATGATCCGATAGACAACGTCATTGGCCAGTTGAGCGATGGTGTTCGAACGAGAAGCCAGAGTTGAGATGTCAACACATGTCTCTATTCTTGCTTTATATCTCAAATAGGGCCCAAGAATGTCGAAATGGCTTTGAAAGAACCCAGCTGGGTTGATGCCATGCATGACGAGCTTAATCAATTCGAAAGGCTCAGGGTTTGGAAGTTGGTGGAGCTCCCTAAAGGCAAAAAATCTCTTGACACTAGATGGGTGTTTCGGAAAAAGCAAGATGATTCAGGTGTAATTGTAAGAAATAAGGCGAGATTGGTGGTTCGCGGGTTCAGACAAGTTGAGGGTCTTGATTATACAAAGGTTTTTGCTCTAGTGGCGCACTTGGAGGCTATCCATATCTTCCTCTCTTAAGCTTCTCACATGAACTTTACTATAAACCAAATAGACATCAAGACAGCTTTCTTGTATGGCAAGGTGAAGGAGGAGATTTATGCTGACCAACCTCCTGGGTTTGTTAACTCCAAACTTCCTAATCATGCCTACAAGTTAGACAAGACTTTATATGGATTGCATCAAGCTCCCAAAGCCTGGTATGCTACACTCACACAGTACTTTCTCGACCATGGCTACTCCCGCGACAGTATCGATTAAACCGTATTCATCAAGCATGTCGGTTCAGACCAGATTCTTGTCCAAATATACGTGGACGATATCATCTTCGGGTCGACAAGTCCTCAGCTTTGCAAAGAATTTGAGGACGTCATGAAAAAGCGGTTCGAGATGAGTTCATTGGGGGAGATGACCACATTTTTGGGGCTTCAGGTCAAATAGTGTTCATCCGGGATCCTTATTCATCAAGCCAAATATGTGGACGATATGCTTTAGAAGTTCGGGTTCAGAGACGCTAAAACTGCTTTGACACCCATAGCAGAGAGACCATTGCTAACTCGCGATCTTGAAGGCAAATCTGTAGATCACACGTACTACAGATCAATGATTGCATCGCTAGTGTTTTTGACTGTGAGTCGCCCAGACATTATGTTTGCAGTCTGTCAATGTGCACGCTACCAGGCTAATCCTAAACTGTCTCATCTTACTGATGTTAAAACACTTTTTCGGTATATAAAAGGAAGCCAAAAATTGGGTCTTTGGTATCTGAAAAATTCCGAATTTGACCTTTACGCTTTTGAAGACAGCAATTATGGTGGTTGCGAACTTGATAGGAAATCGACTTCAGGCGGATGTTAATTTCTTGGTGATAGGTTGGTGTCTTGACAATGCAAGAAACAGCATACTGTTTCGACCTCAATAGCAGAAGCAAAATATGTAGCTGCATCTGTCTGCTGTTCTCCAATCATATGGATCCAACATCAGTTGTTGGATTACGGTTTGAATTTTCAAGAAACCCCTATATTCTGTGATAATGAGACTGCGATCCAAATTGCTAAAAATCCAGTCCAACACTCAAAAACCAAGCACATCGGCATCAAAATTTATTTTATTATAGAATGTTATGAGCGCTCGCTCATTCGGCTAGAACAGGTTCACTCTAAAAATAATGTAACGGATCTGTTCACCAAGCCGTTCAACAAAGTTCAATTCGATGTGCTGGTTAATTTTTTGAAAATGATTCGCTTTGAGGATTAATTTTTTTTAGAATAGTTTAAATTTGCGCATTTTATTTTTATTCTCTTCCATGCACAAATTTAGGGGGAGAAATAAACAAAAACCAAATAAAAATTAGAAAATTAAAAAAATCAAAAAACAATAGAAAGTTAAAAATCCAAAAACAATAGAAAATTAAAAATCAAAAAACAATAGAAAATTAAAATTCCAAAAACAATAGAAAATTAAAAATCCAAAAACAATAGAAGTCAGAAAATCCAAAAACAAAAATATTTCTGTGAAATGATGAGTTGGGAAGTGATATCAAAAGGTGATAACAGGCAATCTGGATCTGTGTAAAGTACCAAAGCTGAATTGTCTAGGCTTTATGTTCGATGCGCTGGTAGGCATGAACAATTTAATGGACTTGACTAGGCAAAGATGAACCTAAGAAATCAAATGACTTCACAAATCTTTACCTAGATAGATCTATTTAGCCTGACAACATGACGCTCGGATAGGTTGAGCAGGGAGATATACATGAGAATCCACCAGTCACACTAAAGAGCCCATATCTAGAATTGTGGTTCTACTTTTCCTTGATGTACGGATTCTATCCTTAATTCTGGTATTGACAGAGCGACTAGGGAATTTCCAAAAAGTAGGTATGTAGAAATTTATTTTCTTTCTTTCTTACTGTTAGTCATATGTTGCCTCCTTTATGTGATTGGAAGAGATCCGACTTGGACTGCAACATATGCAAATCTATTTCTCTGCATATTATATCTATGAAATTCTTCCTATCTGTTAGCCATATACTATCTCCTTTGTGTGATTAACAATCCGACCTGGTACACATCATATGCAACCTTCTACTTCTCAATCCCTCTAAAAACCATAATTAATAATAATCTAAATCTATCCTCTCTATGAATAATAGTCTGCTCACCTAAAGTAAGGAGTACCAGGTCGGATTGTTAATTCTAGATTATTTGTAGATCTTGCTGCTCAATTTAGGTGGACAACAATATCCTTGGTCGTCGCCAGATGAATGGTCCTTAGGAAGTTTTATCTAGGAACATAGGATCAACTTGCCTTGTCACTTATAGCATGTCCAAAATTTGTCACAATTTTTCGTGTTTAAGTAGACCACAATACGGGCGATCGACCAGATTTATTCATGAAAGGGGAGGTATTGATAACTTGAAAACGATTGTCTAACAACTTTGACCCCACATCACAAAATTGAATTATTTTTTATTATTACCATTTTATTTTATTTTTTTATTTTTAATTTTACTTTATTTTTAATTTTTTATTTTTAGGAGTGATATAATAATTTTCGTTTAATATTTTAATCCTCAAAATGATTTATTTTTGAAAATTTTTGAGTATTGGGCTTAGGATTTTATTTTAATAAAAAAGGGAAAAGGAAGCTCAAGGATAAAGAATTATAAAAGGGGGTGTGCGGTTCATGCTTGTCACTATTTACTGCTTTCAAAAAAACGCACACACCTTTCATCTTCTCTCTCTTGAAAATCAACTCAAATCCTTCATTTTTCAGAAATTGAAGCCTGATATTTGTAAAAACTAATAAATCGACACCCTCAATATAATTTTTATGCATAAACGATCAAGAATAGATGGTTAATCGAGAGTTTTATTCCCGAGTTAAAGGATTAAAGTTGGTTTAAAATTGAATTTTTATTATTATTATCATTTTATTTTATTTTTTTATTTTTAATTTTATTTTATTTTTAATTTTTTATTTTTAGGAGTGATATAATAATTTTCGTTTAAAATTTTAATCCTCAAAATGATTTATTTTTGAAAATTTTTGAGTATTGGGCTTGGGATTTTATTTTAATAAAAAAGGGAAAAGGAAGCTCAAGGATAAAGAAGTATAAAAGGGGGTGTGCGGTTCATGCTTGTCACTATTTACTGCTTTCAAAAAAAACCGCACACACCTTTAATCTTCTCTCTCTTGAAAATCAACTCAAATCCTTCATTTTTCAGAAATTGAAGCCTGATATTTGTATGATCTAATAAATCGACACCCTCAATATGATTTTTATGCATAAACGATCAAGAATAGATGGTTAATCGAGAGTTTTAGTCCCGACTGTGTGTGTGCGACCACACACGCGTGTGTCGCTGCATACTTCCTTGTGTGCGGCTGCACACTTCCTTGTGTACGGCTGATGACGTGTGCGGTTACACACATCCTTTGAATCATAAATCGCGTGTGCGTCTACACACATCCTTTGAATCATCAATCGCGTGTGCGGCTGAACACTTCTATGTGTGTAGTTGCACACATCTACGTGTGTGGTTTCACACTTCATTGTGTGTGGCTGACCATGAATAGTTGGACTAATTCTATGACTGTACACTGTGTGCAGCTGCATACTCTGGGTGTGGATGGATATAGGTGTATAGTTGTATACCCAAAATTGACAATCTTTTTTGCCCTAATGTATGCTTGTGTTTTTCAGGTTAACATGGGAGAACTTGAATTTGCAAAGGTGCACAACTCAACAATCTTTCTTGAAAATCCTCCAGCTGCTCACAATGATCTAAAGTTCATTGTTGAAGGTCTTAAGAAATGTTGTATGGTTCATGCTTTGACGACTAGTCCGGTGATTTATAAAAATTTGATCAAAGACTTTTGGAGAAGTGCAATCGTCAAGGAAGATGACAAGGAAGAAAAGTATCTTGAAGCAACTATACAAGCAAAGAAGATTCTGATCTCAGAAAGTGTTATTCGTGAATCACTTCAAATCAATGACAGGCCTGATTATTATATGGAAATTGATGTGTATTAAACCCAAGACGTTCTAGATTACATGGGGTATGAAGGATCATTTCCTCCTACCATCAAGAAACTACTTCCTCCTTGCTGGAAATATTTAGCTCATGTATTTGTGAGCTGTATTTCCGAAAGGAGATCAGGACCAAATGAAATCTCTTTGTTCAACACAGGATCCATTACAGCCTAGGCTTCAGGGATCAAGTTTAATTTTTCGAAATTTATCTTGCACGAATTGATTCTAAATGTTGAAGGAAACAAGAGAGACAAGTTTTTGATGTACCCGAGATTTCTTCAAATTATCTTCAATGTCATGCACTCTGAGCTCAAAAGAGGAAATGAGCACCTGGATCTTAAGTTCGTCGGTCCAAGTGCTTTTGGATTGATGAAGCAAAAAAGGGGTGGAAAGATTGTTTTTGAAGGGAAATTACCTTTAATAAGATTCGGAATTTTTGCTGAAGATAGTGATCAATCAGATTCAGAAAATCACTCTAATCCTACAGAGATTGATGATGTTGTGATTTCAACTTCAGAGCCAGAGATTGAAGAAGTTCGTGATTCTCCTATAACAATAGTGGCAGAGGAACACAATCGTCTACACAATGTGGAAGTTGAAACACAGTTTGAAGAAGGCGATGAGGATCTTCATGAAGATGTTGATTTTCTGAAAGAGATAGATTTCACTAGGATCGGTGATGATCTCCCTTCAAGCATTGAACACAATCTTGACGATGATGAATTTGGTCCATTTCCAGGGTTTGACAGCAGGTACTTTAAAAAGGTCAATGAAGTTGCTCAACCAGCAACCAAGACTGGGGAAGAAGTTAATGCTCGCAAAATTTTGCTCTCCTCTTCCAAGCCTATGCAGGTCTGTTCAGGTCAAAGAGATGTGATTTCAGAGATTCCTCCCTCTGATTCAACTGTCTCTACTTCTGCTCCGCTTTTGAGGGTATCAACACAGCAACAAACCTCCCAGTCTCCTTTGAAAGGATGTCGATCAGATTCAAGACTAGGAGTGCCCTCTATAAGCCAAGGACCACCAGTCTTATCCACTTCTACCACCACTAATGTCATTACTACCACTACTACAATCTCTATTCCACCACTACATTCAGAAGAACGCCCAAGCACAATATTTGATGTAGGTGGTTCATCCTCTATTCCATAGTATTTTCCTACACGACCTTCACTGGATGAAGCCTCGATCATATTGGCCAAGCACCTTGCTCAAAACAGTCCAACTTCTTACTCCCGGGGTAAAGGCATATCTTTCGGGGAAGAACATTCAGGTGATGACAAGACTTCAGTGTCAATAATTCGGGAAGAAATAAGTATTCTCAAGCAAGAACTTATAGAGAAGAGCATTCTACTGGAACAACACACTTCTTATATAGAAGAACTCAAAGAAAGAGATGAAATGAAGACGAAACAAATTAAGGATCTGTAGAAAAATCTTGGCTCTATCTGAGCTTTTTACTTCAGTTTGAAGAATATTCTGTATGATGCCTTCGGTGATAAGGTTAAAGCTTTGTTTCAACAGCCGCACATAATTGAAGATCCACCCGTGGCTCCCACCCAATCTACTCATGATGACTTTCCAGTTGTTCCACCTCCTCCTAGAACGACTACCGTTGTCAATCAGTTTGAGATAGAACCATAAAACAGCAGATCTCGCATCACAATCAAACAAGGGAAGAGAATCGTCACTGCCATCAAAAGTGAAGGATTATTATTTATGAAAAACTCGAATGAGAATCGCAAAGCTAAAGATCCTGTGCTGACTGTGACAGATCTCAAAAATAGAAAATTTGGTGACGAGTTCGGAGACAGATCCGGAATCAGAATGTCGGCTTTTGATCTCGAGTTAAACATGTAGGTTGTAAATAGGAACTCCGGTGTCCCTGAGTATTACAAAAGTGTTCATGATTTTAACTCGTGGACTAAAGTGGATCTTGCTGAACTTTCAAGAGCCCCATTCTATAATCCTTCAGAAGATCCAAGTGCGACAAACTTCAAAAGATTTCTTGACAGGCAGGTCAATGACAACTTCTCAAGAATGAAAACTGCAAGAGCCTTATACAGAAAAGATAAGGAAATTTTGGATCCGGAATCAGGCGAGCCCATGAAGATTATCCTATGGCCAGCAACAAAACAGCAGAAGGAAATTCCTATCCCTCAACACTTTCATGAGGGATACCTTGATAATTTGGAATTCTGGGCGTACGATGATGAAACTGCCACTGCTGCCATAAAATTCAAGGATCGAGAACAAGTTTTAAGGTTGATAAGTGCTAAGGATCTTCTAAGATTCAGAGAAAGGGATATCCGTACTCTGTCTCGTCACCAAATCATAGTTCGAAAGGATGTCATGGAAACTGCTGCCAAAGAATATACTGGAATGGTCGCCACAATCATTAATGGGAGACTTTGGATGGGATCCATGGGAAAGTATGATCTAAAGTTGTTTGAAAAACCCTCAGAATGAAGACCAATTCTATGCTAGCCTCAAACCAAGGGGGAGATTGAAAGGCTATACTTTTGTGGTTTGGGCTAGGCATTCTTTTGTATAGAGCTTGGGAGGTTGATAGAGCAATAGTGTAGTGGTATGATGGTAGATTTATAGAACTATTTGTGTGTGTGTCTGCAACCACACACGTGTGTTCAGCCGCACACGCCATGTGCGGCCGTACATGCGTGTGCGACTGCACTCATATGTGTTGGTGTGGGGTGTATATAAATAGTTGTGTCAGTCTTGTCAGGAATGAATGAACAGTGTATATGTGACAAGGTGTACTTGACATTTATATGATATAAATGTGTGCATGCTTGTTTTGATTCTTCTTCTACTCCTTCTAACACTCTATTTGATTGCTATTATCTTATTGATTACTGATTTGGATCCATAGTTTGGGACATACACTTAAAATGGTGGGCAATACAATGTAGATGTTAGATCTACTGCTTTCATTCTTGCTCCATCTTCCAAATCCCTTCTCCAACACACCAAAGTTTGTTAATCAAAGCTCTTACTCTCCCTCAAGGGGGTTCACGGCCAAAACCGGTTTTCTCTGGGTAGTAAGGTGCTAATGGAGGCCACAAGGGGTAGGTTGTGATCCTTATATAGGGTGCAAACCCTAAAATTAGGGTTTTCTCTCTACAGCTCCTATTCGACGAGTTGGGCCTTCCAACTCGTTGAGTAGGTCCTGACCCTCGTATCCATGAGATGGCCTCTACACGACGAGTTGGGGCATCCAACTCACCGAGTCCATGCATAAAACTCCAAAAAAACCATGTAACTTACTCAATACCTGAAACAGGTGTTACAAATCTTCCCCACTTAAACTAGACATCGTCCTTGAAGTCTTCTGTCCCAAACAAATATGGGTAGTGGTCTCGCATCTCCTCCTCTGGCTCCCAAGTCCATTCAGAGCCCATGCAGTGCTACCATTGAGCCTTCACCAACTTCACTTCCATGTTCCGAAGAACCTTGGTTTTCCTATCTAAGATTGCAAGTGGCCTCTCAATGTAGTTTAGGCTCTCATCCACATGAATGTCCTCCAGCGAAACAACTGCAACCTCATTAGTGACACACTTCCAAAGCTCTGACACGTAGAAGGTGTTGTGGATCTGGCTTAGCTCCTCCGGCAGATCCAAACGATATGCCACCTTGCCCACCCGGGTTGTTATCCTACACGGGCCTATATATTGGGGTCCAAGCTTGCCCCTCTTTCGAAATCTGATGACCCCCTTCCATGGTGACACTTTTAGTAGTAGAAAGTCCCCCTCCTGAAATTCGAGATCTGATCGCCGCTAGTTAGCATGACTTTTCTGACAGCTCTATGCGACCAGCATTCGTTCGCACACCTGCTGAATCAATTCGGTAGTCTTGAGAAATACTTAAGTGCTCCCCTTGACCTAGTTTCCAACCTCACCCCAACAGACCGGGGTTCTGCACCTCCATCCATACAACATCTCAAATAGGGCTCGGTCGATACTGACATGATAACTATTATTGTATGAAAACTCCGCCAGTGGGAGGTATGTATCCCAGCTACCCCTAAAATCCAACATGCAAGCTCACAACATATCCTCCAGTGTGTGGATCGTCCTCTCGCTTTGGCCATCCGTCTGGGGGTGGTATGTCATACTAAAATGGAATTGAGCTCCCAGTTCTTCATGGAACTTCTTCCAGAACCTAAATGTAAAGGGAACATCCCTATCAGAGACTAATAACACTGGCACCCTGTGCCTAGCCACCACCTCTTGCACATAAATGCCTCCCAACTTTTCATTAGATACACTCTCAGAGATCGAGATGAAGTGGGCACTCTTTGTCAATCTGTCCACAATCACCCATATGGCGTCCACGCCCCTCGCCGTCCTTGGTAACTTCATGATGAAGTCCATATTGATTTTCTCCCACTTCCACATGGGAATGAGTAACAGCTGAACCTTGCCATGTGGTTTGCTGATGCTCGGTCTTGACCTTCCTGCAGGTCAAGCACCATTCCAAATACCAGGCAATCTCTTGCTTCATGCAGGGCCACCAATAACTCAGTCTCAAATCTCTATACATTTTCGTATCCCATGGGTGTATAGAGAACTTGGAATTGTGTGCCTCCTCCAATATCTTCTGTCCCACCCCTCAAATTCCATATTAACCTTCCTGCAGGTCAAGCACCATTCCAAATACCAGGCAATCTCTTGCTTCATGCAGGGCCACCAATAACTCAGTCTCAAATCTCTATACATTTTCGTATCCCATGGGTGTATAGAGAACTTGGAATTGTGTGCCTCCTCCAATATCTTCTGTCCCACCCCTCCAATCACCGGTACCCACACCCGGCTACACTATGTTAGAAGACCTCGGCTATCCTTAACAAACAAAGAACATTGTCCTTGAATCCGCTCAATCTTACAACTTTCCTTCTTCACACCTTTGAATTGGGCCTTCTTGATCATATCCAATAGTGGAGAGATCACCTTCATCCTCAGACAAAGGTTCCTAATTGGGGAACCTGTCGTCTTGTGGCTCAAAGCGTCGGCCACTACGTTGGCCTTCTCGGGATGGTACAAGATCTCACAGTCATAATCTTTCAGTACATCCAACCACCTCCTATGTCGCATGTTGAGGTTCTGTTGATCCATAAAGTACTTCAAACTATTGTGATCAATATAAATAGTGCACCGTACCTAATACAGATAGTGCCTCTAAATCTTGAGGGCAAACACCACTGCCCCCGATTCCTGGTTGTGAGTGGGGTAATTTACCTCGTGAGACTTCAACTGCCTCGAGGCGTAATCTATCACATTCCCCCTCTGCATCATTACCGCTCCTAACCTTGAAATTGATGGATCATAGTACACCGCCAAATCGTCTAACCTCTCAGGTAGCACTAGAATCGAAGCGTCGCATAACCTCCCTCTTAGGGTCTCAAAATCCAACTGCTGATCCGTGCCCCATCGAAATGCAAATTCTTCTTGATCAAGTGGGTCAAAGGCACAAAAATCTTGGAGAAATCCTGGATAAATCTTTGATAATAGCCCGCTAAACCCAGAAAGCTATGGATCACGGATGTGTTCTACAGAACTTCCCATCGCATCACAGCCTGAACCTTGGCTGAATCAACCAAAATGCCCTCCTGATTGATAATGTGCGCTAGAAATTGTACCTCCCATAGCCAAAAATCACAAACTTTTCATAAATCTTCTCCGTCCTCAGAGTCTCCAACACCTCTCTTAAATGTTGCTCATGATGCTCCTTGGTCTTACAATAGATGAGGATATCATCACTAAAAACGATGATCGGCTGATCCAAAATCGGTTTGCACACTCTATTCATGAGATCCATGAACGTTCTTGGGGCATTGGTGAGCCCAAATGGGATCACCACAAACTCATAGTGCCCATACCGAGTCCTAAAATTTGTCTTCGGTGTATCTTCATCCTGAATCCTCATCTAATGATATCCCGACCGAAGATCAATCTTGGAAAACCAAGATGCGCCCTGCAGCTAATCGAACAAATCATTGATCCTTGTTAATGGATAACGGTTCTTCACTGTTAGTTTGTTTAGTTACTAGTAATCAATGCACATCATGTGCAATCCATCCTTCTTTTTCACGAAAAGGATCGGAGCTCCCCATGGGTAACTACTTGGACGGATAA